AGATCAAGACCATCCTGGCTAACACGGTGAAACCCTGTCTCTACTAAAAATACAAAAAATTAGCCGGGCGTGGTGGCGGGCGCCTGTAGTCCAGCTGTTCGGGAGGCTGAGGCAGAAGAACGGCTTGAACCTGAAAGGCGGAGCTTGCAGTGAACCGAGATAGCGCCACTGCACTCCAGCCTGGGAGACACAGCGAGACTCCGTCTCAAAAAAAAAAAAAAAAAGCTGAACATGCCTACTACCTGTGACAAGCCTCATTCCTACCCAGCCCATATCCTCAGTCTCCTACCCTGTGAGGCGGGTGAAGGTAGAGGTCAGTGCTCAACTTCCTTCTTCATCCGCCTGATTGTGAATTTTCTCAGGTGGATTGATCAGTAGGGGCATGAACCGCATTTCCCTTTGGTTTATTGAAGATGAAAGCATTTTAGGGCAGCTTAACGTCCTGCCAACCCATAGGTTTGGCTGCAGTTCACCTCTACATAAAAGAGACTACTTCTCCCTCTCAGCCCATCTCCAAGTCCACAGTTTGGCTATAACACCCGTTCTTCTTGCCCCAACTCTTGAGTGGCAGATGAAAACCATAGCTCTGAAAGTGCTCTGTGAAATAATAAGTGATACTCTGCTAGATTTTCATGCTGGAAAACATTTCACACCAATGAGAATCTCCAAAGGGAAGAGTCTGTTTTGTTTGCATTTTGAGACACTTGGTTGCCCCAGTGGCCTTCTCCACCTTCATCCGAACCACAGAATGCAAAACATGATTTGAGTGGCTGTTTTCACTTTTAAGGATGGGACAGGTTGGGTGCAGTGGCTCATGCCTGTAATCCCAGCACTTTGGGAGGCCTAGGTAAGTGGATCATTTGAGGTCAGGGAAACCAGTCTGGCCAACATGATGAAACCCTGCCTCTACTAAAAATATAAAAATTAGCTGGGTGTAGTAGGAGGTGCCTGTAGTCCAAGCTACTTGGGAGGCTACAGCAGGAGAATTACTTGAACCTGGGAGGCAGAGGTTGCAGGGAGCCGAGAGTGCACTACTGCACTCTAGCCTGGGCAACAGAGTGAAACTGTCTCAAAAAAAAAAACCGGATGGGACAGAGTGATCGATAGCTGGGAGTGAAGTTCACTCATTATGTACAGTGGAAGCCATGAGGCAGTGGCTCTGCAGGTGTGGCTGCTCTGTGCCCACCCCTAGCAATCTGTTCTAGCAAGCCCTCCAGGTGCTTTCCAGGCTAGCATCTGAGAACCACTGGCCTGTAAACAGTTGGAGTAGATTTGGTTTGGAATAGAATTTCTCCAAGTAAAAGTAGAGACATTGGAAAAACAGGGAAAGCGTGCTGCTTGTGCTTGCCTGGTGTGATACTCCAGGTGGGCCCTGGCCGGGCATAGAGAGTGAGGGAAATGCTTCCTTTCAGGGCGCTGGTTCAGAGGCCTCATGGGAACATAGCTGTCAGGTCACCTCTGACCTGCGTGATCAGCACCTCTCCTGCCTGTGGGAACCAGTCACAGCTCCTTGCTAAAACCCCAGCCCATTACCCCCACTCACACTTCCCACCAGGACTGTTTCGCCCTCAGTCAGAGAAAATGTGAGCATTATTAACAGGGCACTGTCCCCTGACTGTGCAGTTAACTCTGTCCTAGCTGGTCATTTAGAGAGAGACTTGCTAAGAATAGGAGGCAGCAGAAGACCCTTTTGCGTAAAGATGTATTATTTTACAAAGGCCCTTAAACTCTAATTTTGACCATGGAGTAGTGTTGGATATCTTAGTATATGTGCTGCCGAAGCGAGCACTAGTGTTGGATATCTTATGATAAATAAAGGGCATCTTGGGAACACTGCAGTCAGTGTAGGCTGGGGGAGTGGTGTCTCTCCTATGAGTGTTGTGGAAACCACCTCAGAACTGTCTGAGAGAAGGTGCCTGTGGAGTGAGGGCTGACCCTGGCCCCTTCAGAACTGCCGTGTGTTACTCTTGCCCAAGTGTGTCCAATGAGATGGCCATTTTGCAGGAGTTTTTTTCCCGTTTTCTATTTTCATAATGCTATTGCTGCTGCTGCTGTTTTAATGTGGTTCACTCTTGTCACTTTTGTGTTTTGTGATGCTGATGACAATGTTGTTTTCACATGACTCACTCTTAACTCAGTGATCTGTTTGTGTTTCTGTAGGACAAGGGCTCAGAGGACTGGACGTGCTCAGACATCGGTATTCTTCTTCCCAGTTCTTGACCCCTGGTCCTGTCTCCAGCCCGTCTTGGCTTATCCACTTTGACTCCTTTGAGCCGTTTGGAGGGGCGGTTTCTGGTAGTTGTGGCTTTTATGCTTTCAAAGAATTTCTTCAGTCCAGAGAATTCCTCCTGGCAGCCCTGTGTGTGTCACCCATTGGTGACCTGCGGCAGTATGTACTTCAGTGCACCTACTGCTTACTGTTGCTTTAGTCACTAACCGCTTTCTGGTTTGAAAGATGCAGTGGTTCCTCCCTCTCCTGAATCCTTTTCTACATGATGCCCTGCTGACCATGCAGCCGCACCAGAGAGAGATTCTTCCCCAGTTGTCTCTAGTCACTGGCATCTCACTTTATGATAGGGAAGGCTACTGCCTAGGGCACTTTAAGTCAGTGACAGCCCCTTATTTGCACTTCACCCTTTGACCATAACTGTTGCCCCAGAGCAGGAGCTTGTGGAAATACCTTGGCTGATGTTGCAGCCTGCAGCAAGTGCTTCCGTCTCGGGAATCCTTGGGGAGCACTTGTCCACGTCTTTTCTCATATCATGGTAGTCACTAACATATATAAGGTATGTGCTATTGACCCAGCTTTTAGAAATGCAGTCATTTTTCTAGATAAAAAGGAAGTACTGCACCCAGCAATGTCACTCTGTAGACTTACTGTGGTCACTTGTACCATATAGAGGTGTAACACTTGCCAAGAAGCATTATGTGCAGTACTTAATGTTTGTAAGACTTACAAAAAAAAGATTTAAAGTGGCAGCTTCACTCGGCATTTGGTGAGAGAAGTACAAAGGTTGCAGTGCTGAGCTGTGGGTGGTTTCTGGGGATGTCCCAGGATGGAACTCCACACGCTGGTGCACATACGCCTTTGAGCTACTTCAAATGTGCGTGTTTCAGTAACCATGTTCCATGCCTGAGGATTTAGCAGAGAGGAACACTGCGTCTTTAAATAAGAAAGTATACAGTTCTTTTTCCTTCTACAGCATGTCAGCATCTCAAGTTCGTTTTTCAACCTACAATATAACAATTTGTAATAAAGCCTCCACGAGCTCATGACATGAAGCACTGTTTGTCGTCAAGTACTCAAATATTTCTGATACTGCTGAGTCAGACCGTCAGAAAAAGCTAGCACTAACTCGTGTTTGGAGCTCTATCCATATTTTACTGATCTCTTTAAGTATTTGTTCCTGCCACTGTGTACTGTGGAGTTGACTCGGTGTTCTGTCCCAGTGCGGTGCCTCCTCTTGACTTCCCCACTGCTCTCTGTGGTGAGAAATTTGCCTTGTTCAATAATTACTGTACCCTCGCATGACTGTTACAGCTTTCTGTGCAGAGATGACTGTCCAAGTGCCACATGCCTACAATTGAAATGAAAACTCTATTGTTACCTCGATTGAGTTGTGTTCCACAGAAAATGCTATCCAGCAGATCATTTAGGAAAAATAATTCTATTTTTAGCTTTTCATTTCTCAGCTGTCCTTTTTTCTTGTTTGATTTTTGACAGCAATGGAGAATGGGTTATATAAAGACTGCCTGCTAATACGAACAGAAACGCATTTGTAATTCATGAAAATAAATGTACATCTTCTATCTTCACATTCATGTTAAGATTCAGTGTTGCTTTCCTCTGGATCAGCGTGTCTGAATGGACAGTCAGGTTCAGGTTGTGCTGAACACAGAAATGCTCACAGGCCTCACTTTGCCGCCCAGGCACTGGCCCAGCACTTGGGTTTACATAAGATGAGTTAGAAAGGTGTTTCTGTAGGGTCCTTTTTACCTCTGCTCAGCGGAGAATCGATTCTGTCAGGTTCCTTTATTCACAATCTTAGGTCTCAAATATTCTGTCAAACCCTAACGAAGAAGCCCCATCTCAGGTTGGATTCCCTGGTTCTTTCTAAAGAGGGCCTGCCCGCGTGCCCCAGAGCTGCTGCTGGGCACAGCCGAGTGTTGGGAAGGGCCGCCCCGCAGCGTGCAGTCCTCACCACCCAGCCCAGGGTGCTCACGCTCACCACTCCTGTGGCCGAGGAAGGATAGCCGGCTCATCCCCGGAAAACAGACCCACATCTCTATTCTTGCCCCGAAATACGCCGTTTTCACTTGCGTGCTCAGAGCTGCCATCTGAAGGTCCACACAGCATTGACAAGACACAGAAATTTGACTGTTACCTGATAACACTGATAAGTCAGTTTTCATTTTTAAAACATTGACAGTTTTATTACTCTTGTTTCTTTATACTTTTTAAATGGAAAGTTAGTATTATGAGGTTAATTTGCAATCCTCTTCTAATTAGAAAACCACAGCCTTGGCCGGGCGCGGTGGCTCAAGCCTGTAATCCCAGCACTTTGGGAGGCCGAGACGGGCGGATCACGAGGCCAGGAGATCGAGACCATCCTGGCTAACACAGTGAAACCCCGTCTCTACTAAAAAAATACAAACCTAGCCGGGCGAGGTGGCGGGTGCCTGTAGTCCCAGCTACTCGGGAGGCTGAGGCAGGAGAATGGCGTGAAGCCGGGAGGCGGAGCTTGCAGTGAGCTGAGATCCGGCCACTGCACTCCAGCCTGGACGACAGAGCTAGACTCCGTCTCAAAAAAAAAAAAAAAAAAAAACCACAGCCTTGGCTACTAACATCTGGAGACTATGAGCTCCTTCCCATTCCCCTTCCTGGTACTGTGGAGTCAGATTGGCATGAAACCACTAACTTCATTCTAGAATCATTGTAGCCATAAGTTGTGTGCTTTTTATTAATCATGCCAAACATAATGTAACAGGGCAGAGAATGGTCCTAACCAAGGTACCTATGAAAAGCGCTAACTATCATGTGTAGTAGATGCATCATTTTGGCTCTTCTTACATTTGTAAAAATGTACAGATTAGGTCATCTTAGTTCATATTAGTGACACTGAACAGCACCTCCACTATTAGTATGTTCAAATAAGCTTTCAGACTAATAGCTTTTTTGGTGTCTAAAATGTAAGCAAAAAATTCCTGTTGAAACATTCCAGTCCTTTCATTTAGTATAAAAGAAATACCGAACAAGCCAGTGGGATGGATTTGAAAGAACTCATCGTGAGGACTCTGTCCTGACACAGGTTCTCAAAGCTAGCAGAGATATGCAGACATTGTGGCATCTGGGTAGAAGAATAGTGTATTCGGTGTGCCATGCACAGTGTGTGGTCTGTGCACACTCATTCCTTATGCTCTTGGGCACAGGCAGTGGGTGTAGATGTAACCGGTAGCTTTGACAAGCTACATGTGGCTCACCAGTGGTTGTCTCTAAGGAATCGCAAAGGTAAACTACCCACACCGCATGCCACATAATATTTCAACCATTCAGAGGAGACTGTTTTCTCTTTATTTGCTTATATGTTAATATGGTTTTTAAATTGGTAACTTTTATATAGTATGGTAACAGTATGTTAATACACACATACATGTGCACACATGCTTTGAGTCCTTCCATAATACTTTTATATTTGTAAATCAATGTTTTGGAGCAATCCCAAGTTTAAGGGAAATATTTTTGTAAATGTAATGGTTTTGAAAATCTGAGCAATCCTTTCGCTTATACATTTTTAAAGCATTTGTGCTTTAAAATTGTTATGCTGGTGTTTGAAACATGATACTCCTGTAGTGCAGATGAGAAGCTATCACAGTGAATATGCGGTTTCTCTTACGTCATCCACCTTGACACGATGGGTCAGAAACAAATGGAAATCCAGAGCAAGTCCTTCAGGGTTGCACCAGGTTTACCTAAAGCTTGTTGCCTTTTTTTGTGCTGTTTATCCGTGTAGAGCACTCAAGAAAGTTCTGAAACTGCTTTGTATCTGCTTTGTACTGTTGGTGCCTTCTTGGTATTGCACCCCAAAATTCTGCATAGACTATTTAGCATAATGGTAAGTTAAAAAATGTTAAAGGAAGATTTTATTAAGAATCTGAATGTTTATTCATTATATTGTTACAATTTAACATTAACATTTATTTGTGGTATTTGTGATTTGGTTAATCTGTATAAAAATTGTAAGTAGAAAGGTTTATATTTCATCTTAATTCTTTTGATGTTGTAAACGTACTTTTTAAAAGATGGATTATTTGAATGTTTATGGCACCTGACTTGTAAAAAAAAAAAACTACAAAAAAATCCTTAGAATCATTAAATTGTGTCCCTGTATTACCAAAATAACACAGCACCGTGCATGTATAGTTTAATTGCAGTTTCATTCGTGAAAGCGTGAAATTGTCTAGTCCTTCATTACGTTCCCCAGATGTCTTCCAGATTTGCTCTGCGTGTAGTAACTTGTGTTAGGGCTGTGAGCTGCTCCTCGAGTTGAATGGGGATGTCAGTGCTCCCTAGGGTTCTCCAGGTGGTTCTGCAGACCTTTGCCTATGGGGGGAGGTAGGCGGAGCCTACACCCATCTCCTCATTCTCCTGAACTTCAGCAGCCCCACTGCTGGGCAGATGTCCTGGGCAACCCCTTGTTTCAGAGCAAGAAGTCATAAAGATAGGGGTTCTTGTACATTTGGTTCTTACCAATATTGGGCATTATGCAATGACTTATTTACAAAACAAAGATACTGGAAAATGTTTTGGATGTGGTGTTGTGGAAAGAGCACAGACCTGGGACTCATCCAGCTGGGTTCAGAACTGTCCCCTGCTTAGAACTGCAGCTGGCTGTGGGCCAGTCATTCTGCATCTCTGCTTTCTTTCTCTGCTTCAAACTGTCAGCTGTAAAGTGGAAGCAGTATTACTTGCCTTGTATATGGTAAAGATTATAAAAATACATTTCAACTGTTTAGCATAGTACTTCAAAGCAAGTACTCAGTAAATAGCAAGTCTTTTTAAATGCTGCTGTATTTCATTAAATTTTGTTGTAAGGTCTCACCAAAATGCCTGCAGACGTATCTGCTAATCTGAGAGGAAACCCTCCTGTCAGAAACCTTCAGGGAAGTGAGCTGATCACACGTAAACTGGGAGTTTGCAATGGGGTATTTGAAGCACCGTGGGAGTATTCCACTGGCCCTTTCCCTGAGAGACTTAACACTCTCCCTGTTGTCCAGATTCTGTAGAAAGCGATCAGAATAATCATCTTCCTTGTTCAGCAGAGAAACCTGGTCCCATTTTCCCCGCTTTGTGATGGGCTCCTCCTCTCAGCAGTAGCTCAGCAGTTCCAGATGGCAGTTCGGACCGGTATCTAGGCTGGCTGGTTCACTGTATTTACTCAGAACCAACACGTTCAGAGCTCGCCTGGACCATCTGAGGGGAACAGGAAACACCCCTAGGCTGTGGAGGCAAGTGTAGACCCCCCAGCCCCGGCCCCGAAGCCAAGGGGGACATAGTTTGGGAGTGGCCAAAGAGGAGCAGCGCAGGAATGGGTTTTCCTAGGGACAGGCTTAGCATCCCTGACTCTAGGAAGGAGAGTGAGGCGGAGAAACAGTGGAGGGGATGGTGGCACTGGGCCCCATGGGGCCAGGATGGACACAGGGCTCGTTCTCTTGAGTCTGGCGCCAAGGACAGCTGAAGACAGTATCATTTTCAGGTGGAGAGGAGGGAATGGAGGGAGCTCATGCCCTATGACGTTGTCTTTTGCAGGTGAAGGTGGGAGACAAGGTCTCTGCTGACGATGAGGCAGAGCCACCGTGAAAATTGTAATAGGAGGACTGCCCACCACTGGAAGGGCCTGCAATGACGCTAGGACACCCCCTGCCTGCATGTCATGTTAGCTGGGCTGGGCTAAATAGAAGACCAAGGGGAAGAGTTGCATCCATGTGGGATGCAACCACAGGGCTGGTGGAGGGCTGTGGCATGTGGGCGGAGACTGCATGACTGGGCATCTGCTGTGTCTGAGCATGTGTGGGCAGTGGTCCTAGACCCCACCATGTCCAGACAATGATGTAGAGCGCCTCAGCATCGCCAGTCTAGACTGTGTCTATGGAGAGCAGAAAGTTGTCTAGGGCTGCCTGGGGAACTGTGAGGCCAGCTATATCACCCTCACCGCAGATGGTGACATTATGTACAGTGGTGGCAGGAGCAAGGAGGGAGGGAAGAAAGACCTTGTCCAGCTTTAGTCACAAAATACCCAATGGAAGACACCAGTGCCAATCCTGTGGGTTTCCTTGGGACTTCACACTGGCTTTCTTATCTGCTCCAGATCCATTCAGCAGTCACTGAGTTCCTGCCAAATATGTCATAGCACCAGAAGCCAGGAGCAGGGTCTGCAGCAGGACAATTCCCATTTTCAGGAAATGCCTGGAGCTGCCAGTCCCTGGGGAAAGGGAAAACACCTTTCAGCCATATGCAGGCCAAGAAGACCGATGACAGTAGCTTTGTGATATTTATTTTTTTAATATTTTTTTTGAGACAGTCTTGCTCTGTCACTCAGGCTGGAGTGCAGTGGCATGATCTCTGCTCACTGCAACCTCCGCCTCCTGGGGTCAAGCAGTTGTCCTGCCTCAGCCTCCCAACTAGCTGGGATTACAGGCACGTGCCACCACACCTGGCAAATTTTTGTATTTTTAGTAGAGACGGGGTTTCACCATGTTGGCCAGGCTGGTCTCAAACTCCTGACCTCAAATGATTCAGCCTCCCACAGTGCTGGGATTACAGG